TGTCCGATTAAAAAATTCAAGTGCAATACGGACACAAATATTAATTGCACTATCATAGAAAATTCAGTTTTGCACATGGCAAATTCCAAGCGCTTTACGCAAGGAATCAAACCTAAGGAAGTCTAGGGGCTTTGTGAAAATATCAGCTAATTGATTGTCTGTGGACACATAATCTATAGTCACACGTTTCTGCTCAACTAATTGTCTGATGAAATGAAGACGAATATCTATATGTTTTGTCCTAGAATGCTGAGCATGATTTTTGAAATATTTATGGCACTCTCATTATCACAAAGAACATGCAACTCTAAGCCATAGTTATTTAACATATGTTGCATCCAAAAGAGTTGAGTGCAACAGCTACCTACAGCTATGTATTCACACGCAGCATTAGATAAGGAAATGGAATTTTGTTTCTTACTGTACCAAGATACCAAATTGTTACCCATGTAGAAACAACCTCCTGTGATGTTTTTTCTGTTATCCACATCTCCTGTCCAGTCAGCATCACTGTTCCCTGCAAGACAATTGTTAGTATCTTTTGAATACCATTTTCTCAATTCGGGTGTTCCACTAACATATCGGATAATGCGCTTTACATCACTCAAATGACTCTCTTTAGGGCTTGCTTGGTACCTAGCACAAATACCTACACTGAAACGAATATCATATCTGTTAGCAGAAAGATAAAACAAACTTCCTATCAAGCTCCTGTATAGTGTGGAATCATCGTCTGTGCCATCACAATCTCGTCCCAACTTCTCAATTGAGGTCATTGGTGTTGTTAAAGGCTTTGCCTTTTGCAACCCAAATTTACTTACCACGTTCTTGGCATATTTGCTCTGTGAGATAAATACACCATCCTCTAGTTGCTTTACCTTGTCATTGCTCAGAACCAGTTCCCACATGTCATTTCGAGAAAACTGCTCAAGTTCTTCAAGCTTGGCTAACACCCAAAATTCATCAAGAATTGCTTCTTTGATGTTTTTTGGTTCTACAGTGGAAGTGAAATAGACATACCTGACCATTTCCTGGTAGTCAACCTTCAGCTTATTGCAAGTTTTCATACCTTCTTTACCAGTGGTAACGTCTTCAGTTGTGACATCAGATGTCGGCACTGATACTTCTGTGATTTTGTCTTCTGGTATTTCTCTTCCAATGCTCTCAGTTTGCTTCCCCATTAGAAAGTCGCCATATAAATCTGGTGTATTGGAGTTTAGTTGGGGAACACTTTTCACACAACCTGCATTGATATTTCGTGTTAGATCCTGAAAGTTCAAATTCCCCAGTCGATGACAACACATATCTGTGATATCAGAGGTGGTGAGGGGACACTGTTCAACTTGGTCAGTTTGATCAATTTTATAACAATTATCAGAGGATCTATAACCAGATAGAACACACCTGTGGTTTCGATCAAACACTTCACACTTACGCTTGGTGAACAACACTGAGTCGTATAGATCACATAGCTGACTTACGCTGAGTAGGTTTGATTTCAAACCCTCTACATACAGAACGTTGTCAAGGTTAGGTAATCCTCCAACATCCAAGTTACCTTCTCCTTTCACAAAGGCCTTGTTTCCATCACCAAGAGTAACTTGTCCACCAGACACATTATGCAGGTTCTTCAAGTAATTAGGTACACCTGTCATATGCTTGGAGCAACCACTATCAAAATACCAAGAGTTCGTAGTACATGCTTTTAAAGAAAGAATAGCAGGAAAGCAGTTTGCATTATACTTATTCATCCATTTATTATCAGAGTATCTTCTTTGGGAATTGTGATCCCATGCAGCGGAATTGGATGATTGATATGCTAAACTCTTATTTATCAATTTCCATCTTTTAAAGCATTTTGGCCTAACATGTCCTACTTTGTGACAGAAATGACAAGTTGGCACAAACTTTTTTGTATAAGACTGTGAGGCAACATGTTGTGAAGTAGGTTTGACAGTATTATTCACAAAATTAATTTTTCGATTTGGATTAGGTTTACCATCGAACTTACTCCCAATATAGCCAAGACCAAGTTTATAAGGATTTGAGGGATGAGCATTTAAAATTTCATCTAACCTTTTTGAAGGAAGAATCGTAGTGCGATTTAACTTACTGACTGACGCCTCTAACGTTGTTGCGACAGGGGAGTTGTCACACTTCAGGTTGAGGCAGGGTTCAACATTTTTCATTGAATGAGGATTTTTCTTGATCTGCCTTGTCTTATTGCAATCGTTGTTTCGCAAATGTCTCAACAATTCTTTTAGATTGTCAATATCTTTCAAAGCAAAATCATGTTTTACCTCCAGTGCCTCATTTTCCAATTCAAGCTCATCGATTTTGGCCTTCAGGTTGACTTTAACTGCTTCATTCTCCTCTTCCAGTTCCTTTACTTTCTCCTTCAAACGCTTGTTTTCATCACTAACCTCATGACATTGCTTTAGAAGATCATTCAGTTGCTGTTGAATCATCTCAATGGAGCATTCTTCATCATCCTCTGAATCTTCTTCTCCTGTGGGCAAAAAAATTGTGTTTAAATTTCTATGACTCTCGAGATTACGAGTAACATACCTGAGGTGTGGTGGTTCAGTGCATGTGACAACATCTTGTGTCACGTCAGTAACCCTGCATGTACCATAGAAGTCAATACTAGTTTCAGCATCACTTGCTTCACTTTCATCATCATATTCAAGGTTATCGTCACTCCAGGTTGTAGCAAGTGATTTTCCTTGCTTCTTCTGAGTGTTTGCACATTCAGATTGAATATGACCATAGCCACGACATTCTCTACATCGAATCCCCTTTCTAACTTCTCGCTTGTTTGTAGGACTTCTGGGATGTCCATTCATTTTCACGAGTTCTCCGAAGTTTTTGGCTATTAGAGACATGGATTTTGTTAGCTTGACTTCGAGTGCTGTCATGGGAGCTGAGGGCACGGATGGTGTCACAACAGACACTGTTTGTAAAGCGATTTTTCTCTCTTTATCCATTCTACTGATGTTCAGCTTGTTTTCAAAGGTCTGTAGATTTCCGATCAGATCTTCAAGCCGCAATGAGTCCACATCACTTGCTTCCTCTATAGCAGTGACCTTATATGCGAACCGGTCTGGCATAGATCTCAGCACTTTACGAACAAGTTTTACTTCAGGGTAAGTTTCACCGAGGCCATGGGCTTCATTTGCGATGTCGCATAATTTGGAGTTGAAATCGCTCACGGTTTCAGTTTCCTCCATCCGAAGATCCTCAAAACGAGTAGCAAGCATCTGAAGTTTTGATAATCTAACAGAGGTAGTCCCCTCATAGGCTGTTTGAAGTTTTTCCCATGCTTCCTTGGCACACTCACATGCTGAGATGATTTTGAATTGATTGATATCAATTCCATTGAATATGGCATTCAATGCTTTGGAATTCATATTTGCGGCAATCTGTTCAGTTTTGCTCCAGTCTTTTTCATGTTTCTCAGTTTGAATTCCTTTTTCATCTGTGGCAACAGGTCGTTTCCAGCCAGTCAGAACTGTGCGCCATGCATCTTCATCCATTAACTTGATGAACATCTTCATCTTGGTCTTCCAATAAGAGTAATTGGTTCCAGTAAGCAGTGGTGGGCGAGTCATGGAACCGCCTTCCATATGAGCATTCATAGTACCTATGGAAGAAAATGGCAAATAAATCAAATTCCCAAAATCACACACTATGTTTATCTAGTGAGAGGCTCTTGATGCCAATTGTTGATTTATATGCCTATAGAAATCAATTAACCTAAGTTGTAACAGTCAAGTTGTGGAAACAGTATTCAGTTACAACTATAATTCTTGTGTTAACACAGTTATAAACTACTTAAAGCAAATAAATGAACACAAGAAATTAATGTGGTTCAGACACAAATGTGCCCTACATCCAAGTGGACCTGCAAACACGATTTCACTAGTTCAGATTTACAGTGTACATTAATAGGACTTATTAAAAACACTAAAGACTCCCTCTTTATGTAATATGCCGTTCTTGTACACAACTCGAACTTCGTGTTTCTTCCAACAGCAGCTCCACCCGCGTGCCTTGAACTTTCTTCAAGCCTGAACTCCCTTCAGAAAACGCGGCTGATCTCCCTTGAGATCTATACAGCAAATCTGTATATGTTGGCACAGTGCAACGACGGCACAGTCCTGCTCCGCAGAACGCCTTGGCAAAACTTCGATGCTATGAAGAGGTTTTTCTCCCAAATAATGCACACGGTTCTTGTATGTCTTGGAGGCTTATATAGCCACGAAAATAAGCCCTAAGACCTAACTTGAACCCCAAGAAATCTATTTAACTAGGTAATAGAATCCTAGTTGATTTCTACTTCTATTCTAGATAAGTACAAAAGATACCTAACTAGAATGAAATACATGGAAATAAATCTAAGTCCTAATAGAAGTTTATAAGAATAGGACTCTAATAAATTCCAAAATAAATATGGAAAACAAATCTTTGCCAATCTTTTAATTCCAAAACTTGGCGGATTTCCTCGATCTTCAATAGTCGGAAATATGGCGCCAACAAATTTTATGGAAATGACTAAAAAGTGTTGAATTGTTATGAACATTGAGGACTAAATGTGAAATCAGTACAAACTTAAGGGATGGAAACTATATTTTTCCCAAATAATAAACTATAGAATTCAATTGGGAACGAGTTAAATCAAGAATTCCAAATCAAATGCAAAGAGAAGAAAAAAACAGTTGGACTTATATATAAGAATGAATATACATGCAAAATTCAAAATCGTAAAAGGTCAGTGGAAAAGTCTTCCGGTTCTCACTACTTGGAAAAAGTCTCACCGAAAAATTGAATAGAAAAAATAAATAAATTAATATTAATCAATTCCTCACAGCTGACCCTTCATATAATCATCCCAAAAAGTCGTCTCAAAGTCAACTTTTATCTGTTCTACATATATATATATATATAGTTTTCACTAAACTACCAATCAATCTATTTTCAACTCCAAATCTCTTCAAATAATGAAGCCAGCGCCAATTCTCGCAGCTTTGTTTTTCCTCGTTATTGGAAACATTAACGGCGGCAATAATATTAATCTTGTTTGTCCCGAAATCGAAAGAGAAGCACTTCTAAGCATCAAAGCATCTTTGAAAGATCCCTCCAATATTCTCTCTACCTGGAATATTTCTGCTGATGTTAACTGTTGCAATTGGAATGGTGTGGTCTGCAGCAACATAACCGGTGGCGGCCGCCATGTTCAACAACTCCGTCTTCAAGGCGGCTTACGTGGCAAAATGAATCCTTCTTTGGTCAATCTCCAGCACCTCAGTTACCTCGATCTCAGCCAAAACGAATTCGAAGAAACAATACCTTCCTTCATCGGTTCGATCGCGAGCCTCGAGTATCTGAATTTATCTCGAGCTGGATTTTACGGGACGGTTCCTCGTAGTATTGGCGATCTTTCGAATTTACGCGTTTTAATCCTGGAAGGCAACTACGATGAGAGCCAATTATCGGTGCAGCTCAACGTGAACAATGTGGCACGCGAAATGGATGTCGATAGTCTTGAATGGCTGTCGCGGCTTTCTCGATTGGAGCTGCTCCACGTGAATTATGTCAACCTCAGCAGAGCCGCCAGCTGGCAACAGGTCATCAACACACTCCCTTCTTTGGTAGAACTAAAATTTCGTTATTGCAATCTTAATTTCGACAACGCTCCTTTCAACAATGGTGTTATTAGTAATGTTACTTCTTTAGCAATACTCGATCTCTCTCGTAACAACTTTCGGCCTAATTATACCATCCCGGGATGGATTTTCCAACTCAGCAACCTCACTTTTCTTGATCTGAGTTACAACTCTTTTCAAGGTCCGATTCCAAGAGGAATTGCTAATTTGTGCAAAATTCTAAGGCTAGATTTGTCTTACAATAATCTTGAGGGGGATATATCGGATTCATTTGGAAATGCGTCGGATTGCTTTTTAGGATCTTTGGAATGGCTAGATCTGTCACGGAACCAAATCTCTGGAAATCTAAGTGACCGATTTTTCGGAGATTTTAAAAGTCTTATAGTCCTTAAGCTCGGTTCAAACTCGTTGTCCGGTGCAATTCCTGTCAATATAGTTAAGATGTCATCCTTGGAATATTTAGACCTCAGCGTTAACAAATTCACCGGAAATCTTCCTGAGAGTGTGGGGCAACTTTTTAACTTTCGTTATCTTAATATTAGAGATAACAAGATGGAAGGGGTTTTGACTAAAATCCACTTTGCTAATCTCACTAATCTTTACTACTTATCTGCCTCTTGGAACAACTTCACTTTTAATGTAGGCCGAAATTGGATTCCACCCTTCAAACTTAGGATACTTATGCTGAGCTCGTGTGACTTGGGTGAAGGAACTGAGATTCCCTCGTGGATCGAAATGCAAAAGACACAAATTCACACGCTTGATTTATCAAGCACTGGAATCTCCGGGAATGTTCCTAGCTGGATTTGGAAAGTCCGATTCCTTAACCTCTCTCATAACCAACTTCATGGCAGTATTCCAGTTATAAGTGACATTGGACGACGTCATTACCTATACTTGAGTTCCAACCAATTCAGTGGTTCATTGCCTCGAGTAGCACCTAACGTATCAGCTCTAGATCTCTCCAATAACTCATTTTCTGGAGGGTTATCTCACTTTCTCTGTGAAATGAATGAAACATACTCATTGGGATTTCTTCATCTTGGAGGAAATCAATTATCTGGAGAAATACCAGATTGCTGGATGAAATGGCCATCAATGGAATACTTGAATTTAGGCAACAATATATTGTCTGGAACTATCCCAAATTCGATCGGGTTTCTTACAGGATTAAGGTCTTTGAATCTATACGGCAACAAAATTTCAGGCCCAATACCTTTTTCAATGAGTAGTTGCACGAAATTGGTGAAGATCGGCCTATCTGATAACGAGATTGATGGAAGCATACCGTCATGGATGGGAACTAGCCTAGCCAATTTGAAGATTCTCATTTTACGCTCAAACAAGTTGAACGGCAAAATATCTTCAGGCATATGCCACCTAAATTATCTCCAAATCTTGGATCTTTCAGACAACAAATTTTCTGGGATAATACCTCGGTGTGTCGACAATTTTACTGCAATGGCTACAGAAAGAAGTTTGCCCGAATATGGCATTGGAGAACTAGACTATAATACGTACAGGGGATTCTTCCGAGACAGTGCAAAGGTCGCCACGAAAGGAAGTGAGTTACAGTACGACACCATTCTTGCGTTGGTTACCAACATTGACCTTTCGAACAACAATTTGTCCGGAGATATTCCAAAGGAGTTGACAAGTCTAGTGGAGTTGAGATCACTCAACCTATCAGGGAATCAGTTGACAGGATCGATTCCAGATAGCATTGGAGACATGAAGCAGCTGGAATCTCTCGATCTGTCGAGAAACTCTCTGTCTGGAGAAATGCCGAATAGCTTCAGAGTGATGTCAACATTGAATTATCTGAACGTCTCTTACAATAAATTAACAGGGAGAATACCAGAAAGCACTCAGTTCTGGGGATTCAACGCTTCGAGCTTTATCGGGAACGAGCTTTGTGGACCTCCATTGACAAATAGTTGCAGCAACTCTGGTGGACCGAAGAACAGAGAGGATAAGTCTTCTTCAAAGATAGAGTGGTATTTTGTGTTTCTGTCATTAGGATATGGGTTCGGATTTTCAGTTGTGTGCACGACGCTTGCGTTGAACAAGTTATGGAGGGAAGCATACTTTGGATTTCTAGAAAATATATGGAACAGAATTTACTTATATTGCTACACTAAATGGGCAAGGCTTACAAAACCGGCAAGTTGAGGTTCGTCAGGGTGAAGGATTTAAAGCTTAGTTTGGTTAAGCTTTTATTTTATTTATTTATTTGTTTAGAGCTTAGTTTGGTTAAGCTTTTATTTATTTATTTGTTTAGAAAAAGTATTGTAACATCATCCCAATAATTTGTTTATAGTTGGTGGTTTATATCTATAATACAAAAATTGAAAAGTGTTTTAAACATCAATTTTAACAAAGTGCTCCAACACTATTGTTTGTATTTTGCGTAATTAGTACTTCATCTGTCCCATATTATATGTCTTTTTAGAGAGTTTTTCTTGTCCCAAATTATTTGTCATTTTAGATTTTCAATGCATCATTAAGTGCACTATTTTCAAATTTACCCTTTCTAACTCCTAATTAGCTAGTTGTAAAACAATTAAGGGTTAACTGCAAAAAATCCCCTAAACTTTGGACGTTTTTGCACTTTATCCCCTGAACGGAAAAAAGTTGCACGGGCATACCTCAACTTACAAAATTGTAGCACCGAAACCAAAATTGTCCATTTTTAGCCTATTTGTTCCCGGAATTACACACGTACAACTCCCACGTGTAAATGGAGGGGCAAATTCGCCACCTCACAGGATTTTGGAAAAAAAGAAAAGGAAAAAAGAAAATAAAAAAAAGCAAAAAGAAAAGAGAAAACAAAACAAAACCCACAACCTCATCTCCCAGACACCACTACCAGTCTACCACCACCAGATCTGCCACCACCACTCTGCTCCGCCATCATCTTCATCATCTCCAACCAACAGCCTCATCTTCCAATTAAGCTTTAAGATTTTCTCTTTCATTATTCTTCAAGCTCAAAACTTGGATGAAGACCCACCAAAAACTGGATGTCGCCGCCGCGCAAAACTTGACGAAGACCCACCAAAAATCAGCCAGATGCAGTTGTAGGGAAAATCAGACCGCGAGACCCAATGGAAAATATTGACGGGGTGAGATTAAACGGCGGCGTTGATTTCGATTAGGGCGCCGCTCTATTCGTGGTGGATGAAATAAGGGGGCGGTCTCCGGTGGCAGAATCGTAGCTTGTGAATTTTGTTTGGCCGTAGTCGATTTTTCTGCTTCAATTTCATTGCAAAGTGGTAACAAAGGGCTGAGAAAACGAAATTCGTTTGAGGTGGAACACAAGGCTGCAATTCACAAACGAGGTCGGGCGGCGGAGGTTGCGGTGACGATGGCTGAGAAAAAGGAAAAATGAGGTGGAGCGGTTACCAAAAAAGTGGGCGAAATAGACGACGCCGGAGTGGAGGTGGCGGCGGAGGTGGTGGTCAGGGGGTGGTCCGTGGTTGGGTAGATAGAAGAAGATCACTTTTTTTTTTTTCTTTTTTTTTTCTAATTTAATAATTATTTGTATTTATATATGTAATATATATAATATATATATTTGTATATTGTTTTGTTAAAAATAAATGAATGAACTAAAATTTATTGGAATAAAATAACTTTAAAAAGTTTCTGAAATATTACAAAATTTTCAAATACATAGCCAGAAATCATATGATAATTAAAAAATAAAACGATTTGCATATAATACCCACTTTTTTTCTTTTCCTTTTTAAGATTTGTTTATATTAATGAAACAAAAGAAAGAAAAATAGGTGTAAGAGAAAAGACCGATTTACCCAGCTTAAATCATGTGCTTCTCACGTGTTATGCCTTCCGGCCAGTTTTTTGCCAAAAATAGACAATTTCGACTTCAGTGCTACAATTTAGTAAGTTGAGGTATGCTCGTGCAACTTTTTTCCGTTCAGGGGGTAAAGTGCAAAAACGTCCAAAGTTTAGGGGATTTTTTGCAGTTAACCCAACAATTAATGTCAAGGATATATTAGTATTTTCCTATGTTTTTTACTATAATCTATACACATTTATTGATTTTCTTAATATGTGTGAAACAACCCAAAACGTCATTTAAATTGCGACGGAGGGAGTATATTTTATTGGAGTTTATTGTATTTATTATCCCTGTAAAAATCACAACTGCACGATTCCCCCTATTATAAAAAAAAAATTAGCAAATAACACCCCATTTTTATTAGTCAAAGGGGAAAAACCCCAAAGTTAGGGGTAGAAATTGGAACGGAATTCCTGAACTCCGTCAATTCCAATCCGAAAATATCAGAATATGGTGGAGGCCCATTTGTACAATTTTTTCTTTTTCCTTTTTCTTTTTCTTTTACACTAATGCGTATTATATATTATATAAATAATTTGTACATAGTAAACATTATTTTTTTATATTATAAATTTTTTATCTATTGTAGGCCCTCAATTAATTAATGGGAAATGATGAATACAGGACGACTTTTAGTAAATGTAGGATATTTTTTTTTAATTTTAATTGTTATCCCTATTTTAGAGCGTATTTTAGTAGCTATAGACATTTTAATATAAAAATTAATTCTTATCCAATATTTATCATTAACTGTCTACAAAACTACATTTATTCTCTACAATTTCCAATCTCAAACATATCCGAACAAACTCTTTAAATTCGTTTATACTACAAAATATATTGTCCGATGGAAAATATTCATTATAATCGACTTCTTTAAACATCTCGATATGATCTTGGTCCAAAAGAGTAACGAAATTAATATATATATTATAAAATCTGGCACATAAAAAAAAAGGGAACTTTGACGCGGAAAATAGGAATTTTTTTTTGCACCGAAATGTATATTTTTTTTTACCTCACTTTCAATCTCACTTTCACCTGTATCATCCTCCAAAACCAATAAGTCCATGTTCTTGGTGATTAATTGTATGATATTCTTCCAAAATAATGTCCATGGGTACTTATAAAAAAAAGTTTGAAAGAATAAGATGAGATATATTAGGTTTTGAATTTTTAAATAAAGAATCTACGTTTACTAAAACTCTTCATGTGATATTCTGCCAAAATAATGTCGTGAAAAAATTTTAAAAGAAAGGGATTTGACAAAATAAGATGGGATATATCAACTTTTAATTTTTTTACAATAAAATATCCTACGTTTACTAAAACACGTCCTGCATTTATCACCACCCTTAATTAATATAATAGACGATTAATAATAAATGTATATTTAATTGTGTGGGTCATCGGTTACTTTAATCTAAATATTATCCCTCAATCATTATCACTTTTTTTTTTTCTACCTCACTTCAATAGGTGAAAATGTGTTATATTATAACATTTCTCTATTTTTTGTCTTCTATTGATTTTTCTCCTATTTTTGTTTGGATAGGCACATTTGATTTTACAGTTTTCATTTTTTCTTTGATAATTTATAAAAAAAAAATTATACAAAATAAAACATATGTATATAACAAAATGCGCACATTAGCGATCATGTTTTTGGCTTTCACTTTTTCCATGTTTTGCTTCGCTCAGCCCCCAGTATCCTAAGATCGACCATAATGTGATAAAAAAAAACTCAAACTACTATAACCAAACATTTTTTTGTTAGTTAATTACTTAATTATGCTATAAACAGCCTAAAATTTCTACTTGTTAATAAAATTTCACTCGTTTTTTTAATATTGAATTAAAATTTATCAATTTCAATTTTTTTATTTGTTCTATTATTTTCAAAAAATTATGTTGATGAATTTAAATTTGTTTATGTAAATATTTTAAAAAAAATCGCAACCTTGTGAATTTAGTTGTGCCCTAATACATAAATTTGTGGTCCTACAATAAGGAATAATTTCATTTACTATTTCAGTTTGGTAAAATTTATTTTTATTTTATATTTAGGGCTCGTTGATATAACCCCCTCAATACATCTTTTAGTAGAGAAAAGCCCAAACTACCCATTTTCTCATTTATGTCCCTTCACCTTACACATCCCCATGATCCAGCAGTCCACTATCCCATGATCCATCAGCTAATTATCCTCATGACCTAGTCGTGTCTCTCTTTTTTTATTTTATTTTTATTATTAATTTATTATTATTATTATTATTATTATTATTATTATTATTATTATTATTATTATTATTATTATTATTATTATTATTATTATTATTATTATTTTATTTTATTCTTAATCTTTTTTTAAAAAAATTAAAAAAAAATTAATTTTTTTTCTCTATCAGATATGTTAATCGACTATGAAGCATATTAAATCGACTATGATGAACTATAGTCGATTAAGGAACCGACTACTAAAAATTACAAATCACAACTACAAAAATGCAAACTCAACTATATTTTACAAAAACAAACAATATAAAAACATTATAATTGATTTATACAATTGGAATCAATAAACAAAAAATCAAAAAAAATTAAAAAATTGGAGTCAATGAAGCATATTAATCGACTATGATGTGAAGCATAGTCGATTAAGAATCTGCTACTAAAAATAACAAATCACAACTGCGAAAAAATGCAAAATCAACTATATATTACAAAAACAAAAAATATATAAACATTATAAATGATTTATACAATTGGAATCAATAAACAACAAATCCAAAAAAAATAAAAAAAATTGGAGTCGATGAACCTTAATCGACTACCAGAGCATAGTCGATTAGCTATATCGACTAAGAACATGTTCATAATCGATTAATGTTTCAGCCTGCGCAAAATTCTCTACAGGCGCCGTCCTCCGTCCAATTCACCAAAAAACCCTAGATCTGCCTCCCCATCGTCATCACACCGTCGCCACAACACACCATCACCACCTTACTTTGACACTATGACGGTTTTTTATTACAAATAAATAAATAAATAAAATCACAACTCGCACCACCAACCAAAGCAGAACCACCACCAATCAAAATTCGATTCCGGCGATAAAACGATAATCTTACCTCTTTTCGTCTCCGATGTAGCAATCTTGACATTCGAATTCAGAATCGCTACCAAAATCATTTATAATGTTTGATGGGTGCTTCCTCTTATTTCTTCCCCCATCTTCCGGCGGGGACGGCGGCAACGGCGGAGAAGATTGCCGGAGAAAACAGAGGAAAAAAAAAAAAAAAGAGAA